CAGGCGCCAGGCGTGCACACACACAAATAACCTTTTTAACTTTATTATTTATTTGAGACAGGGTTTCTCTGTGTAGCCCTGGCTGTCCTGGAACTCAGAGATCTGCCTGCCTCTGACCACTACACTCAGCTGTTTCTCTTTCAAAGTTGAGAAATTACCATCTCTAGCCACCCCTAAAGGCTCTTCTATCACTAAACCCTGAGCAAAGCCACAGAGATGTGAATTTTGTCAGTTCCCACTGGGCACTTCCCCTGCCTCTGTGCTTCAGAGAGCATGGCTTTAAGTTCCGGAGCTGAAACACCCAAGTCAAAACTTACATACAAACTACTAGAGTCTGTCTTGAGTCTTAGTTTTAATATATATGACAAAGACCCACCTCAATCACTGAGGCTCAAGAGACCTGGTGGGAACAGAGGATACGGATTCCAAGGAATGCCCACTTCAGTCACTCCTGTCAATGCCCTTACTGTCCGTGTTACTGACTCAACTCTGCCTCATAGACCCATGGCCTAGGTAGGATTCTCAGTAGGGCAGTGCTGCCTCCTAGTGGGCAGACTGAGTATTCAGAGGTTTGTAATATTGCCTCTGGGAAAAGGTGCAGACACTGCCTGTCGTGCTAGAACTTCTGACATCTGTGAGACTGAATCGTTAAGTATGAAATGAAAAACGAACTAGGTTTGGGAAAGTTTGGACACTAGGGGCTATGGAGTAGCACACACCTGCAATGCCAGTTATCCTATCAGGGAGAGAGGACCACGTAGGCCCACCTCCCCCACATTCCAGTACGGGAGTTATTTGTATGTTAGCTGTGAGGACAGTATGCTGGTAAACAATGAATTTGCAATTTAGCATGTTTACCCTGCCATGTCTTAATTCCTGAGTCAGTTTCCTCCCCTGCCACAGTTATCAGTGTGTGCATCTTCACTGGAACTTTCCTACATGGAATAGCCATTATGGAGTGGTTGGAGCATCTATGCCCTCCCTATTTTTTTTTTTTTTTTTTAACAAGTTAAGGCCACACCTACTCATATTTTTGCCCCCGGCAGTGAGAATCAAACTTATGGTCTGGAGCATGCTAGGCAATTCCGTAGCTGAGCTACATACATGCCTACATTTCATTCCTACAATTCAGAGCTGGGTATAGAAACCACTTGGGGCTAGTTCAGTTGTCTGAGTGTGCTTGTCACTTTCAGTAGTGTAGTGGTTTATGTAACCCTCACAAAGCCCTTCCTTGGGCCCAATTCCAAGCACCACAAAAATTACTTTGCCACAGCTGGGTGGTGGTGCTGCATGCCTTTAATCCCAGGATCTGTGAGCAGGAAGCCAGACTGGTCTAAAAAGCTACAGAGAAACTTTGTCTCAAAAGTAATTACCACAGAAAGGATTGGTACCATTTTGGTTTTGCTTTTTAAAGAGGTCCAAGCCTGGATTCCAGTTGACAAGAGTACTTGTCTATCATGCACGAAGCACAGGGTTTGATTCCCCAGCACTGAATAAACTAAGCATGCTGGTGGTACCTGGTTATAATCCCTCTCAGGAGGCACAGGTAGGTCATCTTTGGCTGTGTAGCCAATTTAGGTCAATTTGGAATACATGAGACTGTCTTTAAAAGTTAATAAACTGGAATGGAGGGTATATCTTAAGAGGGGAGACCATTTACTTTGTTTCCCAAGTAGCTAAGGCTAACATCCTCAATGTCAGAATCCATCACAAATTTCCCTCCCTTATGGCTGTTTCTCTGGGAAGCCCTGCCAGGGCCCCACCACCACCAAGGAAACTACCAAATGCTGAAGGCCTGAAAGCATGTTCTCATCTGACTGCTAGAATCCTTGGGAGTCACACAGGCTCTAGAAAAAACACCAGGGCAAAGGTCCAGGAGACAGAAGAGAGCTGACTGGCATCATGGTGGTTCACACCAGTAATCCCAGCCATGAAGATATTCACATAGGATTGCCCAGTTAAGACCAGCATGGGCTATAAAGACAACTTCTCAAAAATAAAGGAGGCTGAACAGAGAACTCTCACTGCTCCACCTGGGGATCATAAATGTCTGTAGCAACTCAGCAAAGTTATCAGCACATGAGGGAGTGCTAGCTAATCTCCACTCTGGAGCTAGTACAGCTGTTTTTTTGCTTGCAGATAGGTGGTAGTGGATGGAAGAAGCAAGCTAATCTTGATTGAGGGCAGCCTAATCTACACAGTGAGTTCCATGACAGCCAGGACTAGAAAGAGAAACCCTGTCTCAAAAACAAGAAAAAAAAGTTAAGATTTCATTTGCAAGGGCTCAAGTTCAGGGATGGCCTCGTTCCTCTTCATACAATTAAGAGGTGTAAAAATGGAAATCTGCCAGAAGATGGTGGCACATACTATTAATACCAGTACTTGGGAGGCAGAGGAAAATCTGGATGTGCTAGACTGGTGGGTGGCTGAAGTACCCTGGAAGTCATGGATGGGTGCTGGGAAGGCAGTACTCTAAGCCATCTCTGCAGCCCTTACACAAATTTTTAAAATCATGTATTAAAGACACACAGGTAATTTTTGTCCTAACATCTCACTTCACAAAAAATACTTGTCCAGCCAGCTTTAATCCCAACACTGGAGGCAGAGGGGCAGATGGATCTGAGTTTGAGGCCAGCCTGGCCTACAAAGTTCCAGGACAGGAAGAAACCTTGTTTCAAAAAGTCCAAAAACTAAACTTTGTCCAAACTGTTAAGACCATTAATTACCCTTATGACTTAAAATGTAGTGGAATGGTTTTATAGCCAGGGGGGACAATGTTGAGGACCACTTTTCCCCAATACTTGAGTTACCACCTGAGAGACATTCAATCTACAGAAAGCATGCCAGGAGTGCCATGAGGCTGGGGGCGGGGGTATATATACTTCCCAAATGACACCATATGAAATGACCTGTCCCTATTATGTCTAGCCCAGCTCATGTACAAACCAAAGCATTAATGTCAGATTAATTAAGAGTGCTGCTCCCATATAGGCGGCACACCTCATACTCACCTTCCTGACTTTCTCAGAAAAGCTGGACAATGCTTTAAGACCTTTACACTGTCCTTAGACTAATTGTTGCTAAGAATTCGAGCACTACCTAAAACCAAATATTTGAGGCTAGGGATGAGATGTCTATGTTGTATATTCATGCTAGTTGGCTTTTATGACATCAAAAAACCCACCCAACTTAATTTGCTCCCATTGATGTGTGCACCTTGTCTGTGCTTTTGGAAAGGCACAAGGAATGTTATCAGATTCCCTGGAGACAACAGCAAGGAGACTCTAGGAGCTAGAACACAAACTAGTGTTATGTAACCGAAAGTGGCCCGCTGTTTTTTTTCCTCCCCCCCCCCCTATTTTTTTTTCCATTTTTTAGAGACAGGGTTTCTGTGTTGCTCTGAAGTTGTCCTCAACTCACTTGGTAGATCAGGTGGCCTCGAACTCACAGATCCCTGAGTGCTGGGATTCAAGGTGTGTGCCACCAAAACCTGGCATAAGTGCTTTTTTATTTAAACTTTGAGCACTGATGGGTGCTTTGCTTACATGTATCCCTGTGAGGGCATCAGCAGAACCCTAAACATCTGGAAACGAAGCCAATGTTCATAAGCACTAAGCCATCTCTCCAGTCCAATTCCCTCAGGTTGGAGTCTTGTGAACCTGCTACTCTTACCTCAGCAGTGCTGAGATTCTGTGGAACCACAACTCCTTTGTATAGTGCTGAGGATGGAGCCAGACTATGTGCATACTAGGAAAGACATCTCACCAACTCAGTGTTATTTTCAAAAACAGAAAAATATTTTAGTATTAGTTACCAAGTTGACACCTACCTCAAAATAGGTTCTATTCAACCTCATACATCCCCCTTGCATTAGAAATTTTTGGGATGAGAGGGGCTCATACAACTAGTAAGGAAGGGTACAGTTAGGTAGCAGAACACTTGCCTTTACACCTGTGTGAATTCTGGGTTAACACCCAGCCTCCTCCTCCTAAGTAGTAAATAAAGGTATGGGCCAGAAGCAGGATGGCTCAGCTGATACTAAATGATAAGCCTAAATACTAGGTATTAGAATTCAACCAAAGAAATGTTGAATGTACAAATCCCTCTTCTCAAGGACCAAGGTCACTTCACTAATCAGGTAAAGAATAAACACTGTATAAGACAGGGTAAGTACTGGCCCAAGAATATAAAATTCATTACCTGATTGTTTAGATGAAAATATACTCCAACCCAGCTTTTTGCCAATGTCTTAAATCATAAAAATCCTTTATACCCTCCCCAAAAGGAAGAACAGAACAGTCTGGCAATAGTATAAAAACAGACAACTAGAAGTGATTGCCTGACAACTAAATCCCACCTGAGATTCTGGGAAGAAAAGCACATTCAGACAAGGCACTAACTCAGTGATTTGTAGAGAACTATAGATGTTTATTGCCTCCAACTCTCCCAGATAATAAATAGTACTAGGTCACTATGGAAAGCCTTAAGTACCTAAATGGCATATGAAGGTCACCTACATCATGCTTAGTCTGTACACCTAAATCCCAATGCTTTTCTTAATTATCACTAAGTACTAATAATGTCCTGTAATCATCATAACCTTTAGCCGTAACACTCAGAAAGTGATCAAGATTGGCTCATGTGTCACTACAATTACAGAAATTACAGGAACATTTCCAAACAGCCAATCTAAATGTCAGTTCAGTTTCCACATTCTGTATTTTCTGTGAGCCAAACTTGTGCTAGGGCTTCCAGTTCAGTGACCCAATTAATGATCAATAACCACTTAGGCCATGAAGGACAAAGGGCCAGTCTCCTAACATGTTAACAGAGAAGTCTAAATTTATCTTCTTTCAAAGGCTCGTGTTGGAACTTTCTGAACACAAGTCTTACTGTGCTGTTGAAAGCTAATGGGAGGGGGTGTAACATAAAAATCAGTCAGTATAGTGAATCCAAAAACTACCTTAAAAGGACACATTTAAGAAAACTTAAGCCACAAGACTGTTGCATTATGATTTAATCTAATTATACACAAAAAAATCTGAAACCACAACTCCTCCAGATTTCTAAGAGAAAGGGTATGCATGCCTCCATATTCAACTGTGCATCATTACATTTAACCATATGATGGAGTTTACATCATGATGGGTCAGTTTGGAATCCCATGCAAGACCTCGTTATAAAATAAAACCAATTTTTAAAACTTTGTTGAATGTTTTCATGCTGAAGATAAAAGCCACTTAAGAGTTACAATATACCACACTGATGCTACTTTAAAATGTCAGTGTCATGATCCTGAACTGGCTTCAATTCCTAAAAAATGACTTAGAAGGTGACATCAAAGGAAAAAAATGTATTCACTTAATCCCGCGCCTCTTAGTTATGCTTCTTACAAAGAAAGAACTGGATAACCAACTGCTTCCCCAGGGATGAGAACAACTGTAACAGTGGGTTCACTCAACTGACTACTACACAATTATGCTAGTATTTTATTAATCCAAAAGCACTTTACAAGAAAATATAAGTATGGCTTCCAATAGGAATGTTATACTTGGACTTGATACCAAGCTCACAGATTTTGAGTGTGCAAGGAAAAACAAGCTTTCAAGTTAAACAACAATTTGTAACCAAAACTTTAATCCCAAGGATTCTCACAAACATATTACAAATGACAGCATGAAAAAGAAATCTTGCACAGTAACTCAAAGGTTCAGCTCTACAATGTACCCTTACACTGATAGGACACTGGTAACTTAAAGTCTTCCATTTCCAAATAAAGAATGTTGCAGCTATGCGTCCATATATAGCAATCAGTAAGGAACCTCTGAAAGCCTTCAGGGTGCAGTTCCCATCCTTTACCTGTTAGCTAGTGTTCACTAACAGCTTTTAAAGACTGCCTATCATTTTACCCACAGCTCCACACCATATCCCAGCTACTAGACAAACTAGAGCTTTATTCCATTTCCACCAGTGGTTTCTGTATCATTAGCACATCACACTTTAACTGGGCAGGATCTAGGTTTATTTCAGTCTATGAAAAACTAAAGTTCAAAGCAAATTTGAACAGCTAAAACATCTTAAAAATGCACCAAGATTATGAAGTCTCAAACAAAACTTGAATTTCCTGTACATACTCCTGTCAAATGAAGTTATTTCCTGTACACCACTTCTTTAGCAAGCTGGTCTTCTATTTCCTTTCATTTGACCTAGATCGGCTAAAAATAAATAAATAAAAACATTAGTATCTTATTAGTGCATAATATAAAAAGGTATCTTCAAAAGTTCAGCCACTGGTGAGTTATCTTACCTTCGAGACCTAGAGAAAGACCGAGATGGCTTGTGGTTTCTCTCCCGAGACAGAGACCTTTCTCTTCTCCTATCTCTAGAAAGTGACCTAGAACCAACAGAAAGCACATTAGCCAATGATGAGACATTTAACTTGTGGGAAAGGCTGGCTCATTCTAACTTAACCCTGACTCTGTTTGCTTCCCAAGACACTGCCACTTTTAGGGTCCTCTAAATCTCATTAAGGAGTACTTGGGGAATCAGCTTAGAGCTATCAAAGGTACCATTTCTGAGAAAGGGCAAATTTACCTGCTCCGGCTTCGAGAGAAGCTTCTCCTTCTTGGAGATCTAAAAGCAGAAACAGCAAAATTAGACTAATCGTCAATTAGTATATATGGCGTGAGGCATTTCCCAACTTTTCAATCTCACTGTTGGGCCCAGTGAATGTGCCGAAGAACTGGCACCCATCGTCCAAAAATAAAAAAAGAAAAGAAAACAAAGGCACAGAAGGATTAAGGAACAAAAAGCTCAAGTGAAAGCAGGTATTCCAACCATGGATTCATTTTAACAAAGAATGCTTCACAGCAGATCTGTCCGATGCAAAACTTCATGTCAAGCTAACTCCACTACCCAAACACCACACCAAATGTAGTCCCACAAGTAGTTCCAAAAACATTACCATAAACCAGTATTTGGAACCCATGCAAACCTTTAAGTCCATAACAAGACTTAAGTACCAGGTGGATAGTGTCATTTTGTGAAAACGCGGTAGGTGTAAATATTGATGCCATTTAGTGCTACATTAGAACTGCATTTGTGATGTAACATTTAAGAGTGTGTTTAGCCTCATCAAAATTACTATAGCTTGGCCCACACTTCACCCCCAAAATTTTTAAATTTTGAAAACTGTTAGTAAAACCATTTAAAGGTGATAGGATTTAACAAATTTTTTGCTAGGAAGAAAGCTAAAATCTGTTAGAGATATTAAAATTTTAGTTTGGCATCTCACACATGCACATAAGTTCACTTGAAGGTCTAGTCACATTATGAGTTCCCTATCACCCTTAAAAGTTGTTTCAAGCAATATATTGTACGTTACCATTCAATTATGCACAGCCAGCCTTTGATCCAGAAAAAGAATTACTTTAAGCCGCTTACTCCTTATTTTTAACCAGCAGTAAACTGTATAAGCAGGAAAAACTTACTAGTTTTGGGTTTCAACAAGCTAGAAATGGTGAGGTGAGGCTGCCGGACTGACGGCCAGGAAGAATTTGCTGAAAAGGTTTTGCCAGATGTTGCGTTGGACTTAGTTGGTTGGCGAAGGGGGTGTTGTGGATTTTTCCTGCTTTTTTGTTAGCCGAAGGCTGCTGCTGTAGTTGTTGTGAAGACATTTGGTAAATAAACAGCTGAGCTGATTGGCCAGGAATGTGTGGGCGGTCGAGGTGGCTGCTGCCGATTTGGTTAAGGTTGGAGAGAAGGCTGAGAGAAAACAGCATGCTCGGGAACCAAAGGGCGGTGCAACCTGACGACTGGCCAGCCTGGGTCATGTGAAACGACACCAGCCAAGCTGAATGGGGCGCGCTGGTCACATGACGCTGAAAGGGCTAGTTGACTGGCTAATGCAGATTCAGAGGGTGGTGAGAAGAGACATGATGGTGACTCTGTAACGGGGTTCATTTTTATTAATAGATGGACCAAAAAGCACAAAAAAAATGAAAAACAAGCCATCAGTACAACCATCTATTAGCTAACAAATACTCTTTATTATGATGGGCAACAGTGTGTTGTTTTTCAAAATAGCAAAAGGGGCAAGATTTTGAACTCCTATCTCCTAGGACTTCACTCACCTGTAAGAGGTAAATTCAGTCCTACAGAAACTATTTTGGAGGCTTGATTTGAGGAGATGAGGAGTTTGCATCCAGGCAACTGCCTGGTCCAAGAAGGATGCCATTTCAATCATTTAAAAAAAAAACAAAAAACAAAAAACAAAAAAAACTGAATTCTTTCCTATTGGGGATTCAAGAACGGATGACTTGGAATACTTTTTTAGCCCCCTTTATTGGTTAGTGACTTAAGTTTGTTTCAGAAAGATTTCTACTTTACCGGCTGTAACATTAAAACAGCTGCCTGTTTTGATAAATATTACAACTGTGCTACTAGAAAAAACACATTTGTGAAGAGCTAGTTGAATGTAATGTTGATCTTTATGGAGTCAAGAAATGGAAAAAGGCCTAAATTGAAGTAAAAGGGAAGACTTGGAAAGATGCAACTAGAAGATGAACTAGAAGACAGATCCAAGATAGAAGTTACTAACTACCAACATGAATATACACCTACAGACAAAAGCCAACACTCAGCACAACTCACATACCCCAAACTACACCCAACAAATAATAAATGTTCGTAGAAACCTCAGATGTTCACAATAAGTTAAACCCACCAACAAACTTGGGCAGAAATACCTGCTCCTATAAGCTACTCCATTATACCACAATGACTCTCTAAAACGTGCTCTCTCAAATACCTTCGCCGAGGTGGAGGACTCCTCCTTCGATAATCATCTCGAGGGCGACGGCCCCAAGAGGGTGGCGGGCCACGATTGCGACTTCTTTTTTCACCATTCGACAGTTCCACTCTCACACGACAGCCACATAGTGTTCTAAGGAGAAGGGTCACTCATTACAAAATTGCTCATTGCGGGAATAGTCCATCTTCATCTCCCCCAATTTCACCCAAACCACATTAAGTTAAATGGAACCTAATCCAACAGTCTGAGTTTCTTAAACTTGTTTAAAAAAAAAAAAAAAAAAAACTCTTACATTTGCTAAACTCTTTACATAGATTAAGAGCCCAAATCTTTTCAAATGGGAATTTTTTTCAAAAAAAAAAAAAAAAAAAACCCAAACAATTTTTACTGTTTATGAATCAGGCTGGCTGGGTATGTTAACCCCAGCACCAGGGAGAGAAAGCCACTTTGCCAGTTTATACTAGAGAATCCACTTCAAAATAAAATAAAAGCTACAGAGAGCTCAGAAGCTCAAAGCATTGGCTGTTCTTGAAGTTGCCACAGGCTTGTTTCCCAGTACCCACAAGGAGACTCACAACAGAATTCTAGTTCCTGGTAATCAAACACCTTCTTTATTGGCCTGTGACTAGCAGAAATGCACATGAAGACATATAGGTAAAACACACATACAGTACAAAGTTTAGAAAGAGTTTCTATATAGCCCTGGCTATCTGTCCTAAAGCTTGCTCTGTAGATCAGGCTGGCCAGGTAGATCTGAGGCTAGGTTACAAAATGAGACTCTGTCTTAAATCATAAAAAAATTTTTAAATTGTACTAAGCTACAAGACCCTGTCTCAAAAATAAAACAATTACAAACTGCTTATCAAAAAAGCCTATTATATATATAGAAATATTTTGCCTGCATAAGGCCCTGTACCACACATATGCCTGGTGCCCAAGGAGGTCAGAAGACAGCATGAGATAACTAGAAACTGGAGCTACAAATGGCTGTGAACTACCACGTGGCTCCAGGTCCTCTGCTTTTTTTATTATTGTCTGCATGTATGCCTGCTGGCCAGAAGAGGGCACCAGATCTCAATACAGAGAATTTGTGAGCCACCATGTGGTTGCTGGGAACTGAATTCAGATCTTTGGAAGGGTAGGAAGTGCCACTAACCTCAGAGTCACCTCTAGTTCCTGAACCACTCTTGATTTGAGTTCAATATTAACTGCTACTAGCTAGAATTCAGTATGAAGCACCTTCATTTTTATCTTTGTATTTGTGTATTTCTATTCTCCTGCATACTACTCTAAAGGCTACAATCATGCTGGCTGCTTTATAGTATGCCTTCCCCATTATTCTGCAACAACTAACACATAAGAAATTCCACCTATTAGCAGAAAAAAAAGCAAGATATGGTTGGTTATCTTTCCTTAATTTGTCTAGAGCTACCACAATGAGTTAAGCCAGAACAATTAGACAGTTGATTGATGACACCCTAGCCAACTTTTATTGTAACTTGTATGAACAAATAACTTAGCTTTTATATTATGAGGCTCTAAAGCCTTCAACTTGCTACACAACCAATTGCTGGATTTCTGGGCTTAAGTCACATCTGGCTCAAAGCAGGAATGTTGTGGCACACTGTTCCATCAGCCAGCTAGTAGGGTTACAGTATATACCCATTGTGTAAAGAGTTCAAAAGTAGTCAGGACATAGCTAACACCTAAAACACAAAAAGCCACAAGTCCGGGAAAATTTAAACACTGAAAACCAGGTTAACTGTTTGCCATTAACATTACCTTCCATCCAGCTCTCGGACAGCATCAGCTGCATCTCGGGGATCCTCAAATTCAACAAAAGCAAAGCCAGGAGGGTTCCGAGCAACCCACACACTTCGAAGTGGTCCATAATAGCCAAAAGCCCGCTCTAGTTCAGTCTTGTTCCCATTGTTTCCAAGATTACCTACATACACCTTACAATCTAGTGGACAGGAATCACGATGCATTTCTGTAATGACAACAAAAAATACTAATATTAATCCAAGCAATCCTAAGAAAATTAAAGTTAAAAACAACCTCAGAATAGATAAATCCTATTTGTATAACACGCACAAGCTTCTGGATTCAATCCCAGCACGAATAAACTATTTGAAACAGAAACAAACTAAAAAGTCCAGAAAGAGGGAGGGGAATGGACTATATAAGTACTCCACCCATAATCCCCAGGGAAACCAGCAATTTTCTTAGGTCAGCAGGTAGAGAAGTGGGTGATTTAAGTATGAGGACAGCCTACATATAAATCCCAGTGCTCAAGCAGAGTATAGTGTAGGTGGATCTCAGTTTTAGGAAAAACTGGCCTATACATGGAGTTCTAAGCCAGACAGGGCTAGAGAATAAATATTCTTGTGCTTCAAAGGTGGATCTTTTGAGTCAGATGCCAGCCTCATCTCCTTTAAAAGTCACTTTAGAACTGAAGAAACTCGAAGGATCAACACAATATGGACTGTAAATAGGGAACACTGTTTATTAAAGACAGTGTCTGTCCTCTCTTCTTTCCCTCCCTCCCCAGTAACCAAGGCTGGCCTTAAACTCCTGTGCCAGACTCCATTCAGCCCTGAATATAATAATGTACTGAAAGGAGGCCAAATAAGATGTGGGATGATTGCTCAGAGATGGAGATCAGCTTCCAATGAGACAAGAAACCATCTTAAAACATTAAAAAAAAATCCACATGTGATATTTAAGTCTCTCCCCTTTAAGGCAAGACAACCATTTTAGCCATTACCATTGTCCCTTCCTATCATCACTTAACAGCTGACAAGGAAGAAATTACAGCAGAAAACAGAAAGATGGGTATGTCTTTATTACTCAGCCATTCCATTAAGTTTAGATAAGCAACTACATTTGGACCAGACAAGCAATATATAAATGCCTCTCTATACCATAACTTAATAGCTTTAAGTTAAGTTGGAAAAACCTCCACTTCAAGCTTCCTTAGGAGGTTTGTAAAGATGATCGATCAGTGGTTAAAGGCACCAGTAGTCTGCCACTTAAGTTGAGCTACTGACACTGGAAAAAAAGTCTCCTTCAAATTATCTTTCTGACCTTTACTGTGGCAAATAGACAGCCCCCCAAAAACACAAAATAAACTTTTCAAGATGGGATTTCTCTGTAACAAGTCCTGAAACTGGCTTTGTAGACCAGGCTGGCCTCCCTTTGCATCTGCTTCCCTGTGCTGGGATCAAAGGCATGCACGCACTATCACAGCATAAAATGTTTTTTAAAAGGCTTCCTTAGGTGGGACCTGTAATCCTAGTCTTAAAAGGTAGTCATTAAGATCACCAGTTTTAAGGCTAGGCAGGGATACAGCTGAAGATCCAGTCACAACCAAAAACTTCCTTTACTGCCAGAACCACACTAATACCATCTCAAAAGACTTCCTTAAGCAGACAAAATTCTTCAGGCAGCCAAACCATTCAATGATTTTTAATTGAGAAAATGCTGACCTTGAGTTCAAGAGGACTTAAAAGGTATGCACACCTGGCTCCACGTGATTTTTCCAAACATTGGGAAGAGTATGAACTCTGTTCAATGACAGGAACTTGCCTGGAATGCACTAAAACTTAATCCCTAGCACTACAGACACAGCCTATACATCTCCCTACAGCACCATTCACAACAATGAAAGTTGTGCCAATCAAAATAGCTGCCAGGTAATAGGCAAAATGTGGTACAGCAAATCAGAAATATACTGACAAAATACAAAGTAAAAACCTTGAAAATGTTCAAAAAAACCGGAAAAGGACATTACAATTCCCAGAATATGAAACACCCAAAGTGAAAAATCTAAATTAGTGACTGCCAGGAAGAGCTGTCGGAAAATGAAAAATCGTATCTTACAGAATTCGGTTAAGTTTTCGAAAGACTAGCGTTGTTGAGGAGCTCATGCATGTTAAGCATTATGACTAAAGAAATTCCCAAGGTGAGACAGGAGAACAGTTCCCAAGACAGCCAGAGTCACAGAAAAAGTAAACCAGGAGCTGAAACGTTGCCTGGGCAGCTGAAGCTCGTCTCACTTCTTTAATCCCAGCACTGAGGAGGTGGAGGCAAACGGGTCTGAATTTGAGGCTAGCCTGGTCCAAAGAGTGATTTCCAGGACAGTCAGGGCTACACAAAACTGTCTCAGGAAAAACAAACATGTAAGCAAAACGTTCCAGGGCATTGTGGACACATTAAAAACCACCACAGCCAGGCACTCTTGCGTGTGACTCAGTAGGCCAGGAGTGACAGTTATGAGGTCAGACTTGTAAAGATACCTCCATCTTTTCAAGAAAGATTAAAGAGAAGCAACACTGAAAAATAAGTCTGTTGGGCTGGGAGGATAGCGAGGCTGTAGGGTTCTTGCGTATCACACACATGCCAAATTCAATCCCCAGTACATCCCCAGAATTTTGCCCTAAAAATAAAAACTAAAAGGACACTGATTATACAAATACAGCAGGCCCTGAAGGGCATGCATTCGTTAACTTTTCAATTTCACATTTCCGAAATGAAAAATAATTCATTTGCAGTGTTTCGTACTATTAAAAATAGTCCGGGCACATCCTATTTTGTTGTGACCCCACCCAGTGCCCAAGACTCAGTTGAGAAGGCAAGCCATTCCGCGGAAATAAAAGTCAACCATCCCCGACTTTCACACCTGTTAACAGCAAAGCAGGTCCAAGAAAAATTCAACTTGAACCGGAACTTACATTGGGGAGGACATAAAACCTAATTTTATCCAAGTTTTAAAGCAAAAATTAAGTAGGTGAGGTCGTAGAGAGCTTCAGTAAAGGCTTGGTCTTAACATAAATAAAAAAGAACAAACAAAACCTTCAATCATATCTCAAGTCAGGAGCATAAAAGGTAAAAAAGGTGCCATCCGATTAAAGGCCGCGACGTGCAGAATGCGGTTAGGGATCACACCCTCCGAGGCCCAGTCTGAGCAATCGCTCTCCTCGGCTACAGCCGATGGGAATAAGGAAACTCCCGTATTCACGGGCCAGGATGCATCTCCGACCCGGCCGATGCTCCCGCCGCCGCCCCGGGCCGAACGTCACAAAATGGCGGCGGCGCCCCTTTGTCTCAACCCGGCGCCGCCATTGCGCGCGGCCCCACCACAACTCCGTGAAACCACAATTCCCTCCCGCCGGTCGCCGGTCTCTTACCGAGATCCTGGGTTCAAACACCGAGGTTCAAACCCCAACACTCCGTCAGGCCCACCCGCGCACTTCGGGATCTGCTTTAGCAGATGCTCTCCGTTCCCTGGCGTCCACGAAATGGCGGACCACCACCTTCCCCTCGCCTCTTTTATAGAGCCCCGTTTGCGTCAAGAAACCCCGCCCCGTTTGTATCACGTGACCCCGCCCGATCGCCCAATCAGAGGCAGCGAAGGCCGTGACGCGACGCCGCGAGAAACCGCGGTTACTGGGAGCGCGCGCCAGCCGTTCCGTCAGGTGGGCGGAGACGCGCGGGTGGCGCGGGCTCGCCGCCGCGTGCCCGCCAGCCCCGTGGATGCAACGCTGGCGCTTGCCCATCCCCGCTCTCGCCCAGACCCGGTCTTCCTCACTTCCGCCCAGGCGGCCGCTGGATGAAAACTGCCTAGACCAGGCGGCCGCTGGATGAAAACTGCCTAGACGCGGCCGCCATTATTCCCAAGTCATGAGGGTCGTGGCCGCAGGCTCGGGTCAGAGTCGGGTGTGCGTGCTTGCTCCCTCCTTGCTAGGCCGCGATTCCAGAGCACCGCATTGACAAGGGAGCCTGAGAGCCGTTCTCAAGGTCACCGAGCTGTGGGCGACCTAACTGGTACCCCACGGTGGCCCTACAGAGGGGACAGTTTGCAAAGTTAGCCCAACTCTTGTTTTCCCGCCTCTTGCTCAAACCGCGCGCGGCAAATGAGGCTTATGAGACCGTCTGAGGGAGGGAGGAGGGGGAACGGTCACCAGGATCGCTTTCACAAGAGGAAAGGGGAGAGGCCGGTACAGGGTGACTCTCTGCACACAGCTCCCGCCTTGCTGGTGTAACAGCTTTGCTCTCACTGGCAGGCCCCTTCATCTTCCTGAGCCTTTGCACACAGCCTGGGAGCTGGATATCGAAGGAGAAACTGGATTGTGATAATCACAATCTTGATCCGCCACAGAATTTGTCTCCAGTTCCCAAACTTATCCTCAGCCTAGTTCTGCTCAGGCAAGTTTGGTTTATTGCGGAAAATGAGTTATTTCTGCTTGCCCGAAAAACAAAAATAATGACCAGTTTTACAGACACATAGCTCTACACCTTAATTGCCCCCACAGGTAAAGAGGTGGATTCATATAGCACAAGGAAGGCATTACAGTGCTGGACACAAGTTGTTAAACCAGTCTGTGTTGTGGCCTTCCAACTGTAGGACTAGAGATTAGAGGGGAAAAAAATTATCATTTCTAGAAAATTATCTTTCTAGATTTTTCTTAATGACTTAGATTTGTCCCCTTCTGTTTTTCCTCCTCCCTCCCCCTTGCCTGAAATCTCAGGACTTGGGCCCAAGGAGGCAGGACTTAAAGATTTTTTTCATGCATTTAGAGAGTTCTAGGCCAGAATGAACTTCTTGAGAGTCTTTCTAAAAAAAACAAAAACTATGCCAGGCGGTGGTGGTGCACACCTTAGTCCAGCACTCAGGAGGCAGAGGCTGGTGGAGCTCTATGAGTTCGAGGCCACCCTGGTCTACAGTGCAGGTTCTAGGACAGCCAGGGCTACACAGAGAAACCCTGTTTCAGACAAAAACCTGATGTACCTACCTGACTTGTCATATTCTCACCTCTAAAATGTAGGTAATGACCACCTTTAATCCAGCCCCAACTGAGGCATTTCCCTTGTCCAAATATTGGTGGGGTTTTTGTTTTGTTTTGTTATTTTGATGAAACATTTCTCTATGTAACCCCTGCTTATCCTTGAACTCAACTGTATACCAGCCTCTCAAATGTGAGTACATATGTTCTGTTTGTGTCTGTGACACCCACCCTGACCTAGCACTCACTGTGTACAAGTGTGTCAAATGTTTTGACCTTGTTCCATGACTTCATTTACAAATGTGATGGATTGCATTCATAGCTCTCCTGGATCCATTCAGACTTTAGGATGCTTCTTGGACATACCTGACTACAGTCCAGGACCAAGTTCAAGGCAAAACTGTGTTTCCTGGGCTTCCCCACTCCAATAAATATATATATATATTTATATATATGATGTCATTCAGCAGGAGGGGTTGACTCTAGCACGTGCAGGGCTCTGGGTTCCCTCTCCAGCCTTGCCCAAAGTAAGATAAACCACAAGGATGATGACCAGGCTCTTTTTTGTTGTTTTGTTTTTCGAGACAGGGTTTCCCTGTAGCTTTGGAGCCTATCCTGGAACTCTTTCTGTACACCAGACTGGCTTTAGACTCAGAGATCCACCTGTTTCTGCCTCCTGAATACTGAGATTAAAGGCATGTTCATCCCCCACCAGGCCAGGCACTAAGTATTACAAGATTTTATCAAATTTAATTTAATTTTTTCCATGCAAGGTTTCTTTGTGTAGCCCTGACTTTCCTGGAACTTGCTCTGAAGAATAGGATGGGCTCCAACTCAGAGATTCTCCAGCCTAGGCTGAGAATTGAAGGCATGTGCCATCACACCCAACAATATTTAAAATAATTGTGATTGACTTCAAGTTTCAGTAAAGCAAACCTCTTAGGAACCTGAAACATAATATCATTTCCTTGAATACTTGATTCAGTGCAGGGTTGAGTTGAGGGAGCTAAGAACCAGCAGGACACTCCCAGAGATACCTCTGGGCTCTATGGCAGGAAGAAGGCAGCAGGGCTACCCAAAGAAACCAGGAGAGGAACCGTGTGGGCCTGGGTTTCTGAGCAGAGGAACAAAACCATATTGTTTCTGCCATGCTCAACACCCAAGCAAGGCCAAGGGCTCTCCCCAGAAACTCCAGGTCCAGCTCCTCTGGTCCCATCTCTATATGGTGACTTCTTTCTCACTGAAACATAGTAGAAACCTGAGGGCATAAGACCTGGGTGATGCAGTCAACCCTGAAATCCACCTCCCAAGACACAGAGCACAGTAGAGCAGACTGGGGAAATGATCTAGGGCTGGACTGTCTTATGCAATGGCCATTAAGCACCTGTAGCTATTTGGTCTCAGTCAGATGTGCTGTAAATGTAATGAAAAAAGAGAAAGAAAATACTGGATTTTTGAAGGCATCAAAACTAAAAAAGAAAGCAGGATGACAATAATTTTTACATTGCCTCCTTGTTTGGGGGGATATTTTGTTGTTACTGTTGTGGTTCTGGGGGGGTTTCATTTAATTTTACGTAGTTTTTTTTTTTTGTTTGTTTTTTTAACCTGAGACAGGGTTTCACTATGTAGCTCAGGCTAATTTGGAACTACATAGACCAGGCTGGCCTCAAAGGCACAGAGATTACCTGCCTGTCTCTGAGTGCTAGGTTTTAAAGATGTGTGCCACAATGCCTTTCTTTGGTTTTATTTTGTTTCTTGTTTTTGGATATAGGGTCTTGTTGTACAGCCAGTCTGGGCTACATGAGACCTTGTCTAAAAATGTACCAAAAAAAAAAAAAATCAAATGGAAATTGATAGAATATTTCAGTGTAAGAGCAGCTACTGTAAAATTCCAGTTCCTAGCTTCTGAGTCTCTCTTTGTCGTCTCTATGGAATCTCCATGGAGTGGGTTCACAGAGCAGAAGCCTATACCAAGGATACAGTTTCACCCTCTCCCTAGTTTCCAGGGCATCCTGACATCCTCCTGAGGGTCCTTCCAAATAGGTTCCAGCCAGCCAGCTACCAGCTTGCAATTTCCAGCATTTGTTGGGATTGATTTTTTTTTTTAATGAATTTGTTTTTTTTTTTTTGTGTATGAATGTTTTGCTTAGATGTCTGTGCAACAGAAGCCTGCGGAAGCCAGAAGAGGAGGGTATTGGAGCTCCTGGAAGTCACAGACAGTTGTGAACTGCCATGTGGGTGCTGGGAACTGAACCCGGATTCTCTGAAAGAGCAGCCTAACCACTGAGCCATCTCCCCAGCACCTGATTTTTTCCCCAGTAATTTTTGAGGGAGGGTTTGAGACAGGGTTTTGATATACAGCCAGTTGACTAGAACTTGAAACAACCCTCTTGCCTCAGCTGGGGAAGGCCAATGTCACAGATGTGAACCACCATACACAGCTCCGTCTTTTTTATTTGTATTTTTTAAATTCTCTTTAAATTTCCAATCTTTATTTTATGTGCATAGGTGTTTTGCCTGCTTGTATGGCTATGCACCACAGGGTGCCTAGTGCCCAAGGAGGCCAGAAGGGGTCATAAATTCACCTGGAACTGGAGTTACAGAAAGTGATGGGTGTTTCCAGGGTGATGGGAGGTTCTCAGCTGAAATTCACTTGATCTTTTTTGTTGTTGTTGTTGTTTCCAGACATGGTTTCTCTGAATAATAGCCCTGGCTATCCTGGAACTTGTGTTGTAGACCAGGATGATCTAGAACTCAGAGATCCGCCTGCCTCTACATGGCAAGGGCTGGGATTAAAGGTGTGTACCCCCCCTAGTTCCTCCCCCCACTCTATCTGTTTATTTAAAAATGTATTCTTTTCACACACCTCTGATCCTAGCACCTGAGAGGCAGAGACAAACAGTTACTCTGAGTTTAAAGCCAGCCTGGTTTCCTGAGCAAATTCCAGGACAGCCAGGACTGCACAGGAACAAAAACCTTGTCAACCTTGTCTTGAAAAACCAAAAAAAAAAAAAAAGCTTTTTTTAAGCAGACATGGTGTTGCATGTCTTTGATCCCATTAAGGGCAGGAAGATCTCTGTGAATTTGAGACATAGCAAGTTCCAGGCTAGCCATCAAGCACACATGTGTGTTGTACAGACAGACATAAGCAAAACATCCATACAGGAAAAAACAGATTTATTTAGAAGAAAAAAGTCAGCCTGATGGTGGTGGCGCATGCCTTTAATCCCAGCAGTAGGTAGTCAGAGAGATCCTGTTTTGAAAAAGCAGAACAAAAAGAGAGAAAAATTAATATGTAGAAAAAGGTTTTGGCCAGTTGTTTATGACTTTATTCAGCAGCTCTCCCTAGAGCCCCATTCTTTTGGTTTCCCTGAAGCTCTCTCTCCAGAGATCAGACTTACAAGAATAAGGAAGCAAAGGTTCCCTGGTAGACTTAAGGCAAAGCACTGGAGAGAGCCACCCGCACGCAGGTCTGCAGGGACCTCCAGAGCCGGCAGATTTCCAAGGCACTCCACCCTGATTGAGTCAAGTC